TTTTTGCCTTCAGGGTGGGTATTTTGTTGTTGTTTTTACTGTTTATTTAGTTAGATATTAGACAAAGGCAAGTCTGATTTTAGTTATGATTGAACTTCCCTGCTTACTGGAAACAACTATAAAAGCTAACCAAAATATACAAAATAGCTGTTTGAAAGCACTGGAAAACAACCAAGGCAGGGCTGTGAACCCTGTTAGAGGGAACGTACTTGAGTTTAGCCCCACAGTCACCCAAATTTTCTCCTAGGGGGCATTTCTCCTAGGGGGCATCCATGAAAGTGAAGCCCAAACAACAGCAAGAGATTAGAGTTCAGGACTACTAAAATAGCTGGGTTCAGATGGTAATTTTCAGAAAGCACAGCCACAGAGAGAGAACTTCAGATATTTGCATGGAAACGCCTCTGGGATCTTGGCTAATTCCTGGGTTGCACATTGCGTGGTGAGTCTCTGGGACACCTAGGGAAAGATCAGCTGCCTGGAGTCTGAAAGCCCCTGAAGCCAAAGATCTGAATTACACAGGGCTCAGGGCACTGGTCAGACATTAGCATTTGAGCCTGACTAGAGTTCAGTAAACAGAGTGTGGAGTCCAGTGAAGATCCTAGACGTTTAATTGAGACCTCAAAAAGATCATCTTCTGGGTCTTCTAGGAGTGAGGACCATGCCTTAGGAATAAGGGCTATGACCTAGGAGTAACAGTGAATCTGAAATACATCCCCCCACGCACAACAAAGACTAAAATGAGACCTTGACAGCAAGAAACCTAATCCACTAGTAAATTAACTGCCTGCCAAAACAAAATTCAATACTCTTGAAAAAGTTAACAAGATCAAGAGCCTCTATAACTATCATGTATAATGTCAAGCGTACCGTATTAGTCTTCTCAAGCTGCAATAACAAAATACTAGGAATGAGTAGAAACAGCAGAAATATATTTCTTATAGTCATGGAGATTAAGAAGTCCAAGATTAAAGTGCTGACAAAGTAGGTTTCATCCTGAGGCCTCTTCTCTTGACTTGCTTGTGGTTTCCATTTCACTGTGTGCTCACATGACCTTTTCTTTGTCATGTGAGCATGGAAAGAGAAAGTGAACTTTCTGATGTCTCTCTTTATAAGGACACTGATCCTATTGGATCTGAGTGCCATCCTTGTGACTTCATTTAACCTTAATTACTTTTAGAAAGGCTCTATCCCCAAATAAAATCTCATTGAAGGTTATCGCTTCAACATATGAATTTTGGGGACACACAAACCATCAGGTCATAACACAGACAATAAACATTACCAGACAGG